CAGCGAATGAATCAATTAATGGACAAATGTATGAAGTAGTGAATGAATGAATGACAAATGAATGAATGAGTGTATAAGTGAGTGAAGAAATGAATGAAGAGATGAGTGAATGGGTACATGAATATATAAATTATGAACAAATCTGCGGATGGATGGTTGGAGGGTGGACGAGTGTGTGAGTAAATGAGGGGAATGAATGGACGAGTGAATGAATGAACCTTCACTGCCAGGCAGCGTCCTCTCCGAGGGGGGAGTGGGACAGTTCCATGGGCCATCCAGCCAGGTCTGGACTTGAGGACACAGGTCTGGGCTGAGCTTCCACCGCAAAGGGGAAGCACCTACTTACCCTTCTTCTTGTCCTAGTTACCTTTTTATGAGCAAAAGTCGCCTCCCCTGAACCCCCAAACCCCCCCTGAATACAAGCCACGCCTCCCCCAGTCCAAGCTCTTTCATCTCACCTGGGTGATGGGAGAAGCCCCTCCCTGCCATCTGCTCTCCACTCACCAGACCAAAGGAGCTTCAGCAGTTGTTCTCACACCACCCCTGCACAGCACAGTCACCTGGGGAACTTTTTAAAAATACCAGTGCCTGGGCCCACTTTTGATGTTTTGATTCCTTTAGGTTCAGTTGTTAGAAGTTTGATTTTATTTTAAAGCCCCTGAATGATGCCTGGGTTGAGAACCGCTGTCTTAAAGCCGATGCATCTCTGCACCATCTCTGGAGGTGCCCCATTGCTCCCAAAGCAGGAATGGAATGGGATGGGATGGGATGGAATAGAAGAATAGAATAGAACAGTATAGAATAGAATCCTAAACCCAGCTTAATTATCATCACCTCCTTACCCTGGGCCATGGGCACTCTCCAGCCCACATCTTCCGCCTCCTCGTCACCCCTCTAAACTTCTGTCACTCTCCCTCAACGCTCCTTCCTTCTCTCCCTCAAACACATAAGTTGTTCCCACCTCAGCTACTTTGCACTTGCTGCCACCTGCCTGGTCCTCTGTTTCCCCACCTGGTAGGTTCCTCACTTGAGTCTCAGCACAATGCCACCTCTTCCAAGAAGCCCTCCCTGACTCTCCTTCCTAGAGTAGCATCTCCCAGCCACCCTCCAGCTCATGGCCCTGTTTTCTTCACTATGTGAATTTCTCATGGGTACTATTGGTTCATGTGTGTACCATCTGTTTCCATGTAACTGCAGGGATTTTGTCAGTCATCCCCATTGACGTGTCCTCAGACCCCCAGAACAGTTCTTGACACATAACAGGTGTTTCGTAAATATTTATTTAATGAATGAGATTCTTTTCAGCCGTGTTGTCAGTTCCTTTAGAACACACATGCTTTCTCTTGTTATTATTCCTTTCGTTCCCCTAGCAGGGTTTTTCACCTTCGGCGCTTTGACATGAGGGACTAGACGGTTCTTTACGGTGGGAGCATCCTGTGCACTGTGGAAGTTGAGCAGCACCCCTGGCCTCCACCCACTAGATGCCAGTAGCACTCGTCCCCAGTAATGACAGCCAAAAATGTCTCCAGACATTCCCAAAAGCCCCAGGTGGAGAGGGAGCGGCGAATCTCCCCAGTTGAGAAACCCTACCCTGCAGTATTTAACCCTCTGCTGGGCACTCAGGAGGCTGAAAACAAATGTCCCAGGACTGATTGGAATGTCAAGTCCAGCCTCAGTTCCACCATGTGACCAGCAGGTGGAAGCAAAGACCGCTCTCTCACTAGCACGGTTGCTTTCGCTTTGTGAAAAAATTTTTCTTTCCTCAGCCTAGAAACTGGTTTTGCAACCACGTTCACGCGGTGCCATGGGACTTTGTGAGCCATCCACTCAGTTTGCGCTTTTCCGGACTAGAGAGAAAGAGAAGCAGCAGCAACATCCTGAACCCAAGAGCAGACAGGGTCGGCAGAAGTGGAAAGGAAATCATCTTGGAATCAGGCAGATCTGAATTTCAGTCCTAGTTGTACCCTTTCTCTCCTTAATTGAGTCCACCTGTGCCTCAGTTCCCTGACCTGTACCCTGCCTCGCTTATCTCCAGTCATCACCAACAAGCACGTTTCACCTGCCAGTCTCTCCTCAACCATGTGGCCGCTCAGAGAGCAAGGGCTTGCTCTGCTGGGTCACTGCCCCTAGTTCCTGGCATGAAATGGCCTGTCCTCGGGGGTTTGTTGAACGACTGACTGATTGATGAGCTCGTTGAGCAGTGCAGGTAAGGCATGACTCAATGGGTTTCAGCTGTGATGATGTCATGCCGTGCTGAGGATGACGACATCATGGCGATGGTCATGTTATGAGGAGGAGGAGGATGTCATAGTTCAATGATGTCATGGTCAGGAGGATGATGTCATGGTGAGAGTAAGGGTGTCATGCTGGGGTGAGGTCATGGTGAGGATGATGACATCATGCAGTTGATAATGGTGTTCTCATGGTCCACACCAGTGGTCCCCAAACCTCTTGCCATCAGCCCTGCCCGGGCAGTTTCTTTTCTTTTCTTTTTTTTGAATTTATTGTATTTATTTTTAAATTTATTTTTGGGCTGCATCAGGTCTTAGTTGTGGTACACGGGATCTTTCGTTGCGGCTCGCAGTCTTCTCCCTAGTTGTGGCGCGCTGGTTTTCTCTCTCTGGTTGTGGCACGTGGGCTCCACAGCACGTGGGCTCTATCGTTTGCGGCACGCAGGCTCTCTAGTTGAGGCGCGCGAGCTCAGTAGTTGTGGCGTGTGGGCTTAGTTGCTCCGCGGCATGTGGAATCTTAGTTCCCCGACCAGGGATCTAACCCGCGTCCCTGCATTGGAAGGCCAATTCGTTACCACTGGACCACCAGGGAAGCCCCTCGGGCAGTTTCTTAAACCTGAGGCTCCCCAATCCCTCCCCACATCTCATGACTCAGCATCTTACAGGAACAGGTTCTAAACCTTAGCTGATGTTGGAATCATCTGAAGAGGGCTTAAAAATTATCGGTGCCTGGACTCCCTCCCTAGAGGTGATCAGAGCAGGGATTCGGCCCCGGAATCAGGGGTTTTTAAGATGTCCTCGTGATTCTAACATGCAGGAAGGTGACAACCAGCCCTGCCACTTAACAAACTCCCAGGTCAGTGTGATACAAAGGGTGATCCCAGACCAGGAGCATCTGCATCACCTGGGAACTGGTGAGAACTGTGAATTGTGGGACCCCACCCAGACCCACTGACTCAGAGACTCTGGCCAGATGGGTTTGGACATGCAGCCACTTCGGGGCCCCCATCCCCATGGGCCGAAATATCGGGATAAAAGAGGGATGGAATTTTCTGGGGGAGGGACAAAGTGTTACGATTAGTCCCCAAAGATCCCCCTATCAATTGACCAACTCTGTGGGAAACTTTCAACTCCATATTCTAGACCAAAGCTCCACCCCACACGATAAAAACCCTGTATCAAAACTGGAGTGATTTTCACCCCAAAGGAGCCAAGTCTCAATACCAACAGGGCTGAGGAGATAGGTGCACCCCCTCACCCAGACTCGCTGTAGCCACGCCAAGAAAACATCTTCCTCTGGCCACACAACTGCTATGGGGTGTCATTATTTCACAGAAGAAGGGCTGCAATATGTCACCAGGACCCGGCCTGTGATAGTACAGACCTCCCATGCTCGTGCAGAAGCGAGCCACAATCCCTGCTGCTTTCAAGGAGACCGTGTGTGTTTATGCTGTGTAAATCCTCCCAGTCAAAGCTGGTTAGAGATGCAGGATCGCCAGCCCCGCACCCAACCTACTGAATCAGAGGCTGCATTTTCATAAGCTCTCCATGAATTTGAGATGCGCTAGTATGAACCAGATGCCAGGCCACTCTCCTTCTTGAGGGTTTATTGTTGTTGTTCCCCCACATGCAGCCTCTTATGGAGCTGAGACCATCATCACAGGAGATCCCACCTGTGTTTTATAAAGTTACACACAGGCATCTGTCCGGGTTCTAAGCCAGTCTGGTGCTTATCTCAACCCAGGCTGTACTTTGGGAAAAACCGGAGCAGTTCTGGAAGCTAATGGTGCTTGGGCCCCCAACCCCAGAGACTGTGATTTCACGGCCTGAGGTGACACCTGGGCATTTTTTAAATTCCCCGGGTGACTGCAGTGGGGTGTTAGGGTTGGGATCTGCTGATGCCCATGCATAGGCCTTATTCAGGGGATGTCAGAGGACTTAGCACATGACACTGGTTATGTGTTTTCCAGTGTGTTTAAATCTCACTGGCCTTGGATGTTACACCTGGGAACTGGGCTCCATCAACACTTTGATGTGGAAACTATTTCTATCACAGGCTCGGGGTGTCCTGAGCTCACATGTAGCGTTTGGAATGAAGGCTAAATGCAAAGCCGATGGTCCAGGAGATGCTCGTTGTGTTTGGAGGATCATTGTTTCCCACTAAGTGTGAGTGCGGGTAATTCTCTCCTCCGCGGTGAGCTTGCCAATGAGTGCTTCTTGGGCATCACAAGTTTGCTTATTGCCCTTCCTGCTGATTGTGGCTTGCTGACCCTTCCTCTCCTCCCATGAGGACCTCCTGGCACCTGTGAAGTGACACATGAATGGGACCACTGACCGCCTGAATGTCCAAGAGGGGCTTTCATCTCTGGGATGACTCTGTGTTGTTTCAAAAGCGAGTCGCTGACCACGGAGAATCATTGCATTAACTGAGCCTTTTCTGCTTGAGGCTCAGGACTCTAGACCAGGTGAGCGCGAGCCCGGCTGGGGTCAGGGAGGACATGTCCACCTCCTGGTTGCTGCGAAGCCCAGATCTCTGCTGTCTGCCCTCCAATTTCCCACGGTGCCTCCTGCCTGGTTCCAGGTCGCGGGAAGCATGAAGCCCAGTGTCTGAGACGCAGCATCCTCCACACACAGGATCCACGTCACAGCCAGCCGGCATGAACCTACTCAGAAAAGCTGTGATAAAGGAGAACATGCCTCTAGCTTGCTGTGTGTTTTTGCAACACTTACCTAACCTCTCTGGTCCTCCATTTCCTTAACAAAGAAGAGAAACCCATCCAAAGGGCAGGAGTGAGGATGAAGGGAAGCCAGAGGAGACTCACGGAGGTTGCAATCAGTAAGTTCTGTACATGATGAAGGAGATGCTTTTGCTTTTTCATGGGTTTGGCACTCAGCCTCCTCCAGCCCACACGAGACACACGTGCCTAGACAGAGCACACACCGTGCCAGGCAGCACTCAGATAGCAGCCAGGGCTGGAGCCCGGTCCACAGCGGCTCTCAGGTGGTGGCCTTTGAGGAAGAGGAGCCCACCGAGATGGGTCCATGAGGCCCCCACGCCAAGTCCCTCCCTCCCACCACGACCAGGCATCGGGGCTCAGATGGCCTGGTCCTGCCTCCGTCTCAGGCTGAGCACGCGGGCTGCTGCCAGGAAGGCCGCCCCGGTGAGCAGCTCGGCGATGAAGCTGATCCAGCCCAGGGCCAGGGACCAGCCGAAGCGGATGTCCACCTGGTCCAGCAGGGCCTTCTCCTCCAGGAGAAACAGCGCCTCCCGGAAGGCGGCGGCTGAATACGCGATGTAGACGCTGATGCCCGCGAGGGTCACCAAGGCTGAAGGGGTTGCAAAGGAGAGCAGATCAGACCCCCATCCCCGGGCACTGCCCCTCCTTCCCACTGCCGGTCCCTCTGCCCAGTGTGCTCCCTCCTCCCTTCCTGCCACTGGTAACTCCTGCTCATCCCCGCATCTCAGCTCCTGGCGATTCCTGGACCCCCCCGAGCCAGTCCAACCCACCGTGGGGTTTCACAGCATCACATGGCCCTCCATCACTTCCCAGGTCAGAATTTGTTTGTGAAACGACTTAACCAATGCCTGTCTGCCCCAATGTGAGCTCCAGAGGGTCCACCCTGGATGCCCAGCCCCCAGAACAGCACCCTGCACACGGCAGTGCTCCATGCATATGTTATTAGAACGCACTGTCCAGTCCCATAGCCACTGGCCCCACACGGCTCTTTAAACTTTTATTAATTTAAATGAACATCTCAGCTCCACGTTGGCACCTGCCACACGCCAAGTGCTCGTTGCCTGTTTCGTGGCAAATTAGAGAATTTCTCCATCAGGAGAGTTCCCCTGGAAGGTGCTGTTTGGAGAATTAGTCACTGGGCAAACTATTAATGCCAATATTAATAATAATAGCAGGTGGGTGGAGGGGATCAGAGCCTCACCGTATTCTCACCTCCAGGCATTACTTTTCTTTATTTCCCTCCATGGATTCTGCATGTGTGTGTCATTACTGTTCTTGTTCTTTTTTAAGGTCCATTTCAAATGCACCAGAAGCAGGGAGGCCATAAAACAACCAGCTGTGAGTTTGGTTTTAATCAATCAAAGCAACGCCTGTCAGGATGGCAGGTGCACATGAAAGACTGAGGGTGGCCAGAGTGAGGGTCTCCCTCCAGCCCATGGCCCTAACGCTGACGCTCTCACAACACACTTCTTCTGTGAAATAATCAAAGTGATTCTCAGAATCTGCTCTCACCCCTATTCTTCTCTCTTGGGAACACAGACCCAGGGACCCTGGGTGGGGAGCTACTGATCCCTTCCAGCTAGGAGATCACAGGAGGGGGAAGCAAGCCCCAGAAGCGATGGGACCCCCCCAACCCTTCGCTTCTAGGGGATCGGGCACAGCCCCTCCTGGAACCCAGGCCCCGTGCAGGGTGGACACCTACCTCCAAAGAGGAAGAGGGTCCCCGTGAGCAGGAGAAGGAGGGAGGCTCGCAGGAGGAAGCTCAGAAACCCTGTCATCCCCCCAAAAACCATCAGGATGAGGCTGAGGGGCAGCAGAATCACAAACGTCCCATGCATGGCTTAGGGGAGACAGGAGGACAGCAGGTTACTAACATCCTTCTGTTAATCAACAGACATTCACTGAGCACCTCCTGTGGGCCAGCACCCACACGCTGGGGGAAAAAATCAACACCACTGCTGCTTATAATAATGGTGGTAGGGCTTCCCTGGTGGCGCAGTGGTTGAGAGTCCGCCTGCCGATGCAGGGGACACGGGTTCGTGCCCCGGTCCGGGAGGAACCCACATGCCGCGGAGCGGCTGGGCCCGTGAGCCATGGCCGCTGAGCCTGCGCGTCCGGAGCCTGTGCTCCGCAACGGGAGAGGCCACAACAGTGAGAGGCCCGCGTACCGCAAAAAATAATAATAATAATGATGATGACAATAATATTATTAATAGCAACAGTTATCGAGGCTCAGCTATGCCAGACTTTGTGCTGTATGAGTATCAGCTCAAGTAATTCTCACACACCCTGCGAGGGAAGTATGGTTCTTGTTCATTCGCTTCTTCACTCAGCACATGTGTATTGAGTGCATGCTTTGTGCCAGGCTCTGTCCCCGGCACAGCGGATTCAGCGGCAAATCCACCAGGACTCCTGACCTCGTCGGGCTGTGTGGATTCAAGCAAGTGAACAAATAAGTGACAAAGTTGAGAGGTGGTGACAAACTCCTGGGGCGGGGCGTGAATAAAGCAGAGGAGGGGCCGGAGCAGTGGCTCCACTGAAGAAGCGACATTGGAGCAAAGACCTGAAGAAGGCGAGGGAGGCAGCTGCGCAAGGGCCGGAAGGGAGGGGCCGCAGGGAGGGGCGGGGGTGGAGTCTGAGATGGGAGGGCGTGTGCCCGGTGCGGCTGAGGCTGGCAAAAGCCGGCGAGGGCAGCGGGGAGTCAGGGAGGGGAAGGCAGTGCAGGAGGAAGGCAGAGTTAACAGCAGCTCACGTGGGGCTCCTGAGCCATCGGGAAGATTTTGAACTTCTCTCTGAATGAGATGGAGGCCACCAGACAGTTTGGGGCGGAAGAAACTAGAATTTAACTTCAGTTTCTAAAGGTCGCTCTGGCCACTATATTGAGAGTGGACAGCAGAGGGCGTAGTGGGTTGAAAGGCGGCTCCCAAGTTCACATCCAGCAGGAACCTGTGAATGTGACCTCATTAGGGACAAGAGTCGTTGCCGATGTAACGAAGTCCAGGGTCTCCAGGTGAGCTCATCTCGGGTGAGACCCAATGACTTTATTTATTTATTTAAACATCTTTATTGGAGTATAATTGCTTTACAATGGTGTGTTAGTTTCTGCTGTATAACAGAGTGAATCAGCTATAGGTATACATATATCCCCATATCTCTTCCCTCTTGCATCTCCCTCCTTCCCACCCTCCCTATCCCACCCCTCCAGGTGGTCACAAAGCACCGAACTGATCTCCCTGTGCTATGCGGCTGCTTCCCACTAGCTATCTATTTTACATTTGGTAGTGTATATATGTCCATGCCACTCTCTCACTTCGTCCCAGCTTACCCTTCCCCCTCCCCGTGTCCTCAAGTCCATTCTCTATGTCTGTGTCTTTATTCCTGTTCTGCCCCTAGGTTCTTCAGAACCTTTTTTGTTTTTTTTAGATTCCATATATATGTGTTAGCATATGGTACTTGTTTTTCTCTTTCTGACTTACTTCACTCTGTATGACCTGTCTCTAGGTCCTGATGGACCTGTCTCTAGGTCCATCCACCTCACTACAGATAACTACAGATAACTCAATTTCGTTTCTTTTTATAGCTGAATAATATTCCATTGTATATATGTGCCACATCTTCTTTATCCATTCATCTGTTGATTGTCACTTAGGTTGCTTCCATGTCCTGGCTATTGTAAATAGAGCTGCAATGAACATTTTGGTACATGACTCTTTTTGAATTATGGTTTTCTCAGGCTATATGCCCAGTAGTGAGATTGCTGGGTCGTGTGGTAGTTCTATTTTTAGTTTTTTAAGGAACCTCCATACTGTTCTCCACAGTGGCTGTATCAATTTACATTCCCACCGACAGTGCAAGAGGGTTCCTTTTTCTTCACACCCTCTCCAGCATTCAGTGTTTGTAGATGTTTTGATGATGGCCATTCTGACCGGTGTGAGGTGATACCTCATTGTAGTTTTGATTTGCATTTCTCTAATATTAGTGATGTTGAGCATCCTTTCATGTCTCTGTTGGCAATCTGTATATCTTCTTTGACTTTATAAGAGAAAGGGGAGGAAACACAGAGGAGAAGATGAGGTGAAAACAGAGATGGAGATCAGAGTGATGCTTCTACAAGCCAAAGACCACCCAGGATGGACGGCAGCCCCCAGAAGCCAGGAGTGAGGGCTGGAATGGATTCTCCCCCAGAACCTCCAGAAGGACCAATCCTGCCGACACCTTGATTTTGGACTTCTGACCTCCAGAACTTGAGACAATAAATTCCTGTTGTTTTAAGCCACCAAGCTTGCGGTAACTTCTCAGCTGGCCGAGAAAACAGTACAGGGACCAAGCTGGAAGCAGGAAGACCATTGGGTGGCTACTGCAATAACCCTGGACCTGGATGGAAGCAGTGGGGTGGTGAGAAGTGGTCAGGTCCCAGGTATATTTTGAAGGTAAAACAAGCAACCACTTTGATGAGAGTAGGAGAAAAAGAGAGGGGCAAGGTGACACTGAGATTTAGGGCCTGAGCCACGGGATGGATGAGTTGCCATCTGCCAAGATGGGAAAGATGGGGGAGGCAGAGTGGGCTGCGGTGGATACCAGGACTTGTCAAGGGTGAGATGCCTGCTGGACTCCAAGCAGTGGTTTACAGTAGAGCAGAGTTCAGTGGGAGATCTGGGTGGGTGTCAATATGGTACCATTATTATGAAGGTTGGAACAGAGAGCAGACTTAGAGTGGGACCCAACTCAGCCAGGGTGTTTGAGAAAATCTCACAGGGGCTGAGCTGCAGCTAAGACGTGAAGGAATGCGGCTTCACCAGAGGACAGAGGCGATAGTCAACAAGTGTGTATCCAGCACCTGCCAGGTTCCAGGGCTCAGCAGGGAGCAAAGCCAGCAAGGATGCAGGAATTCATGTCCTTCCCAGCCACTGGAAGCGTCCTCTGCTGGAGAAGAGTGACAGGTGGGGGGATGAGCAGGAGAGAAAGGGGGAGGCCAGAGAAAGAACAACTCAGAAAAGTGCCACCAGCATCCACCACCCCCCTCCTCTGACCCCAAATTGCATGTCTTTTGTGAGTCACTTAATCCTCAGAACCGCATTTTCACATCCATGAAATGGAGGTCATAATGTGCAGCTCATGGTATTATCATAAGAACAATGCGTGTGGAGAAAATGGAGTTCCATAGAGCAAGTATTAAATAAACCATAACCCTGCCAACAATAAAGATGATGAAGATAATCATTCAGTCGGACTTCCACTGTGATCATATCACTTTGTCTTCAAGACCCTAAATGCCACCAGCCTTGGCAAGTCGAGGAGACAAAGCTGATTTCCTTTCCGGGGCTGTCACACGATAAAATGTGATTCCAGGGGGCGGGACCTGTAGTCCTTCCTCCTTCCCTCCTTCCTTCCCTCCCTCCCTCCTTCCTTCCTTCCTTCCTTCTTTCTTTTCTTTCTTAAGGAAAAACTTTGGGAAAGGAAGCACAACAGCTGGTGTGAAAACCTGGTTCTGTAAGCTCTGTCTCCTGCATGGCATTGCCTCCAGATGGTGGCTGAGAAATGAAATCATTTCTCATTTAGAAATTAATGAGGTTTCCCGGAGCTGGTTTGGCCCAGCAGTCGCATGTGTGAGGTCCCCAGACAACGCTGCTGCTGAGTTCGCGTCCATGTTCAATTAAATGTCTGTGCAAGAACAGGACAACCCCTGGGAAAGCTGTAAGATCTCCTGCTGAAATTGGTTTAGTATATATATTTTTTTGGTATGTGCCTTGGTATTTTTTATTTTCTGATTTTCAGGACTGCTGTCTGAGGACATAAATATTGATTCTGAGTTATGTTCTACTTGGAAATGTCCCCACCTCCAGTCACATCTCACTCAGAAACAAACGTCTATGGGCCCCATAGAGCCTGGGGATGCTGCAGGGGACAAGGTCTCTGCCCTCATGGACACCACAGTCCAGTACAGGAGACAGACTAGCAGGAAATAAAGGGTATAATTACAGACCGAGTGTCACAAAGGACATGAGTGTGATGATGCAGAAAAACAGGGTGGGCGGTGAGGGGGGGTGCACTTCTATAGATGAGATCGTTGTTTTAATTTCCTAGAGCTGACATAACAAATTACTACAAACTAGGTGTCTTAATAGCAGGAGGAATTTATTCTCTCACGGTTCTGGAGGCCCTAAGTCCAAAATCAAGGTGTCAGCAGGACCGCGCTCCCTTCAGAGACTCCAGGGGAGAATCCTTCCTTGCCTCTTCCAGCTTCTGGCAGTTGCCGGCAATCCTTGGCATTCCTTGGCTCGTGGCAGCATCCCTCTGTCCACCTCCATCTTCTCATGACCTTCTTTTCTCTCCTCTGTGATTCTCCTTTTTTTACGAGGACACTCGCCACAGGATTTAGGTTAATCCACAATGATCTCATCTTGAGAGCCTTAACTCAATTACACCTGCGAAGTTACTTTTCCCAAATGAGGTCCCATTCACAGGTACCGAAGGTTAGGATGTGGACACATCTTTTGTGGGGGGGCGGTGATACCTTTCAATCCACTACAGTGTTTACAGTAGGAGCTCAAGACGTGAGAGCTAAGATTACCGTCTAGAGTTAATAATACTAATAATGTTGGAGATCAGGAAGATAACTAACATGCAGCCCCATCCTCAAGGAAGCTATGTTCTGATGACAGTAGGCTCGAAAATTTACAAAAATCATAAAAATCCACTTCCTTACCAGGCATAATAGGACTGAATATCTCTAAGCATTTCTTGGAGTCTCCAAGTCATACTGACAAGGTTTGAAAATAAAGATAGTGACACTTTCCCCTTTGGGAAATGGTTCCTGAGACTTCCTTCTTTCGCCAGAGCTTCTGATGTTTCTGGAGAATAATACTTCTCTGCTCTCTTTAAGAGAAGGACTGTTACTTCGCTAACCACCCCGGGGCTTCCTGACCTCGCAAGCATTCTGCAAGGCTGCTTTTCCCATCGAGCTATTCTTTGAACAGTGCAATAATGAATCATTCACACAGTTATCCTTGGCGTGAACGACTTGGCATTTTTCTGGGTTTGCTTTTCCTTTGCAACAAAGCACTTCTGAGACGAAAAGATCTCTTGCACCTGGTACGTATTTGCTCTTGATGGAAAAAAATGACCTGTCAACATTATTAGTGTTATTAATTCTACATGGTAATCTTAGTTCTCACGTGTTGAGTTCCTACTGTAGGCAGTGGAGGATAGCAGAACTCTGAACCCAAGAAACAGGCTAGGAACTTTTCCCCTGGTCTGCCGTGGCCTCCGGTCTTGGCACACTCACGTTATACTGGAATTACCCTCGGTGTAGCATCATTCTAGAAGAATAGAAACTTCTGGGTCCAAATCCCAGATCAACCAGTTACCGTGCAAACTTCGGTAACTTACCTGACCTCTCTGTGCCTCGGTTTCCTCATTTGAAAAGTGAGGAGTATAATAACAGTACCTGCCTCGTGGGTCTGTTGTGAAGATTAAATGGGTTAAACACGTAAAGACCTCAGGACAGGGTCTGGCACACAGCACCTGTTCTGTAATCATTGACTGTTATTTTTATTGCCCTTCAACCACTCCACTGAAAGTGGTCCCCACCTCCTTTTATTACATGCGCCTGTTTTATTTCCTTTGTTACACCTACTACTATTTGAAGCCATTTTATGTTAATTTATTCACTGGTCCATGTGTTTATTATCTGTTCTCCTGCACTAGACACTAAGCCTATGTGGCAAGGACCCCACCTGTCTCATCATGTTTTATCCCCAGCACTAAGCAAAGGCATTTGCAATGATTAGCTCCATTTTACAGATGAGAAGCCTGAGGTTCAGGGAGACAATATGACTTAGAGCAGAAGGAGGAGAGAATAACTGACCTCCTGCTTTGGGTGATACCCTACGCTGGATGCTTTCCTTCCGTGATCTCATTTCATCTCAAAACAGCCCAGTTATTTTCTTAATTTATTATTTTATTGAAGTATAGTTGAATTACAATGTTGTGTTAACTACTGCTACACAGTGGAGTGACTCAGTTATACATATATACACATTCTTTTTCATATTCTTTTCCATCCACAGGATATGGAATATAGTTCCCTGTGCTATACAATAGGACCTTGCTGTTTATAAAACAGCCCATTTATGGAAGCAGGTGGCTGGCCAGAGGTCACACAGCTGGGAGGAAGGAGGGCCCTTATCTATGATGTGGCTGACCCCACCCCCCACATCCTGCTGGGAGAGGCACATGACTCAGCTCAGCCAATCAGCACATTCCTTCCCTTCGGCCACACTGACTGGCTCAGACCTGGGCACATGATCCAATCTAGTCCAGTCAGAGACCTACCTGGAGGTTTTGCAGAATGACTGGGCAACAGGCTCCTTCTGCTTAGGTTGCTGATTCTGGAGAGGATTTAGTTGAAAGCAGAACCCAAACAGAAGCAAAGCCCAGAGAGGAGAAAAAGAAATTGAGTTTAGCTCTGGATCCCAGGGGGCTTGAGCTTTTCAGTTGCGTGGACCAGGAATTCCTTTTCTGTTTCAACTAGTATGATTTGAGTTTCTGTCACTTACCATCAAAAGACTCCTGGCTGGTACAGCTAGCCTGGTTGGTTCTAGACTGTGGCTCTTTTATGTAAACTGTGCTGAATTTGAAGACCCCCCACCACCAAAACAAATTCCAGTCCCTAGCCAGGGAACCAAACCCATGACATCCCCAGAGCTAATCAGGAAGATAAAACATCCAAGCAAGGTGGATTTTTATTGGGTACTGAAGTAGGCTACCTGATTGGATTTTCTTGGAGGGAAAACCAATGGTTCTTCCCATACACCCCCACGGGGATTTGTCTAGGAGGCTGACTCACAGAACACGCTGCTTGTCACCTGGCCTCTCTCCTCTATGGGCTCTGCATAAAGGGAATGAAACGTCTTCATATAATAAAAGAACTTGGACAACATTCAAAACTCTTTCTGGGGATAAAGAGATTCTGTGAAAAAGCTCTCTCTGGGGGTGATCTGCAGTGAGCACGAGGTCTGAAGCGGCAGCCTCCTCTCTGTGATGATACAATGGTAGTAAGAGCAGCTAACACTTATGGCAGACTTAAAGGAGCCAGACACTGCATGAGGCTCTTTAAATACACTCTCCCACTTCATCCTTGAATTAGCCTTATGAGGAGACATGACAGTTATCTTCATTTTGCCCATGGGGGAACTGAGGCTCGGAGAGGTAAGAAATTTGCCCAAGGCCACGTGCCTAGTTGGTGGTGAAGCAGGCAGTTAGACCTAGGGCCAAGGGAACAGATGAACAGACTGTGGATGTGAGTTTTGCCTGTTTCTCAAAACCCTGGACAACACACGGTTGGTTCATTATCAAGTTTCATGAAGAGGCCAGACCAGTGGTGACCGTGGTTAGCCATCCAGTTTACTCACTGATGTGATAAGCAAGCTGAATGCCAGCACCCAGCCCAGCAAAGGGCCATAGATGTGACTGCATCTAAAAGAGGCTGGGGGGACTTCCCTGGTGGTGCAGTGGTTAAGAATCTGCCTGCCAACGCAGGGGACACGGGTTAGAGCCCTGGTCTGGGAAGATCCCACATGCCGCGGAGCAACCAAGCCCGTGCGCCACAACTACTGAGCCCGCATGCCACAACTGCTGAGCCTGCACGCCACACCTACTGAAGCCCTCGTGCCTAGAGCCCATGCTCCACAACAAGAGAAGCCACCGCAATGAGAAGCCCACGCACCGCAGCAAAGAATAGCCCCCGCTCGCCGCAACTAGAGAAAGCCCGTGCACAGCAACGAAGACCCGACACGGCCAAAAATAAATAAAATAATAATAATAAATAAAAACTAAATAAAATAAGCTGCACAGGAACAATTTTAAAGTCCAAAGAGACACGAACTTTGTTTTAAGGCTGTAGTAGCTTGATACACCATCTCCTTGCTACCTTCTCCAGCCTTCTCTGTGGACCACAGCACTACATTCAGAAGCCTGTTAGCCGACACAGGAGTTTTTGAACAGGAATTCTTGATTACTCTTGATACGCTCTGAGAACACCCAAAGTTCCTCCTAGCACAGCTTGGGGCTGAGGACAGAGTTCGTGAGACCACTTCCTTTCCTCCACCCCCCTCATATTCCAAGCATCTAGGGGATATCTCCTTCAATGGAACTTCATTCAGTGGTGTGCTGGAGCTGGATTATATCACAGAGTCAGCTGTTAAGTTTTCAGCAGTATGAGGAGCCAGCTGACATCATGTTGACAGCCTGAAACTGACCACAGTGGGAATATTTACACCACAGAGATTGGCAAATGCCACAAATCAAGACTCTCCCCTCCCACAGACAGCCAATTGTTAAATATTTTCCAGCCCACCACTGGACTTTAGAGAAACAGTCTGGTTCATTCATATACTCATTCAGTCATTCAACAAATTTGGATTGAGTTCCACCTCTAAATAATAGAGTTTGCATTCACTCTCGTGCCTGCTCAGCAAACCTTGGCTCATGGGCTACTCTATACCAGGCTCTGTGCTAAACACAGGGAATCCAGCAGTGGCAAGAAAGACGTGGTCCCTGCCCTCATGGAGCTCAGGGTCGAAAAAAATGCCACACAACCTGTAGCACGAGTAGGAGCTGACCAAGTCAAGCTGGAAGGATGGGAGCAGGGAGACTCCAATTGGAGGCAATGGCATGTGCAAAGTTCCTGTGGCAGGAGGAAACTTAGCACCCCTCCAGGAACTGGACCAAGGCCAGCATAGCCGGAGAGCAAAGAGCAAAGGGGAGAGTGGAGTTGGAGAGGGACCCTGGCAGCCCTTGTGGGCCATGCTAGGGACTTGTCTTCATTCTAAGAGTCACATCCCCAGGCCTCACTCAGTAAGTCTATCAAAAGCTGTGCATACTTTTCAAGGTCTATGGAACTCAGTCCTCATTTCCGCATCATGTCCTTTCTGTGGTACCTCTCTGGGCCTCAGTTTCCTCTTTGGAAAAATAAAGATTAAGACAGAGATGACAAAGAACTTCATAGGGAGGCTGTGGAGGTGAAATGAGGACACAGATGGAGAGCGTTCAGCTCCATGTCTGGCCAGCTGCGAGCCTCAGTGAATCGAACTATGACTTTTACTTCCCTCCTTCCTCCACTGTTTATTCAGCCCGTTTGCTTTCTCAAATTCTATCCTCCCACCTTTCCAGAGTTCCAATCACCGTGCCAGGCACTGGGAAATCAGCCAGGAACAACAGACACATGGTCCCTGGCGACAGGGAGCCGTCCTCTGCCTCCTGGTTGCCTCTCCTGAATCATTCAACAAATATTTACTGCATCCCTGCTACTGCCAAGCGCTTGTTCTCAACACCGAGGATGCAGAGAAGGCTGACAAGGGGTTGTGACAGTCAGCTCCCCGGGCTGGTTTAGGTGTCTCTTCGGGCTCCCAGCCACCCTCCCTCGTGCTGCTTGTCACTCTGAAATGTAACTGCGCACTTCCACCTCGGTCTCACCAGCTAGTCTGTGCGCCCCCTGAGCGCCTGGCCTGGGCCTTCGGCAGCAGCACGGTGCCTGGCGCACAGAAAGCCTTCAGCCAACGTTTGTTGAATGAATCCTCAACCACACGTTACGGGTGGAGCAAGTGGACCCCGCTTCCTGCTCCTACCCGCGTTCCCCTCTCCCGCCGGTGCCAGAGGCCGCCCCGACCGCCCTCTCCAACGCAGCGCCAACGCCCCCCACCCCACCTCGCCTGCTGTTTGGACAAAAGCTCCCAAACTGGTGTCCAGCCCCGGGTCCTCCCCCATCCCACCCTCCCCGGACTCACTGAGAAGTTGTCGGCTCGAGTCGCTGAAGGTCACGTTCTCCTGCCAGAAGGGGTTCATCAGCGGCGCGCACGGGCTCTGGACTGGATGGGGCAGAGGACTCGGTGGGCGGGGGCCCCGGGGTTCGGACCCCGGACCGAGGCTTCGCCCCGGCGCCTCTCGGAACTGCGAAGGCAGCCCCAGAAGCCCTGCCCACCTGCCCTTCCGACCCCAGATACCGCGTTTCGCGCCCCGGGGCTTGGGGGGCGGATGCGCTCCAAGCAACAAGTCCCGGGCGGGGGCGGCGGTGGAGGCCACCGCCCCGGGTACCCGGGTACATTCTTACCCCGGCAGGTCCGCCAGAGGCCGGAGTGCGAGCTCAGAGGTTCGAGCTGGCTGCGGTTGGAGGCCCCTGCCGGGTCCCACGCCCCCGGGCTGCTCCGCTGCAGCCGCTCTGTGTCAATGATGTACCAGAAGTCCGTGCCGATGGCGGCCGCCAGGAGCACAAAGCTGAGCGCCCCGCTCAGCGACGCCGCGCCGGCCAGCGCTCCCAGGTGCACCCGCATCGCCGAGCCGGGACCCCACGCGCCGCCCGCAGCCCCCCGCGCCGCCTCCCGCGTCCCTGAGCTCGGAGCCGGAAAGCCGGCCTCCGGACCTCGATCCCTCCCTCCGACCCTGGCTCCGCCCCTCAGCCCCTCACCTGCGCCCTGGGACCTGCCCCGGCTCCTCCCTCAGACCCCATACCAGCCAAACCCCACCTCAGTCAACACTCCCAGCCCTAGCGCAGCCCCTCGCCCCCACTCCTCACTTTCCCCCGACCCTTCTCCCTCCTACCCCCTTCCGCGCTCTCCACGAACCCCCAGCCGTTCCCCACTACGCCCTGCCTCTGCCTTTCCTCCCCAAGCCCGGCTCCTCTCCTCGCACCACCGACTCAACTTCCCACTTCCCGCCCGGTGCGCCAGGAGTCTTCCCTCTGCCGCCCTTCCCACCGCTCCCTCCTCTGCTCACAGCGCCCAGGTGACCTGCACAGTGAGAAGGGCTGGGTGGGGTGGGGGAGGGAGGGCGGCCTTCCCGCAAACTGGGGGAGCAAGAAGGACGGGCAACGGCTGTCGGATTTGCAGGTAATCTTCAATAGCCTGTCGCTCCAGCTTCAACCACCCTTCCTCCAAAATCCACCTTCAGTTGATTTTTCTAGGCTGGCTACAGAGGAAAAAGACAGATCAGGGTTTTTTTTATAAAAGCTCTTTAACAGATTACCAGCAAGGTCCTACTGTATAGCACAGGGAACTCTGCTCAATATTCTGTAATAACCTAAATGGGGAAAGAATTTGAAAAAGAATAGACACATGTATATGTATAATCGAATCACTTTGCTGTGCACCTGAAACTAACACAACATTGTAAATCAACTATTGCCCAATATAAAATTTTTTTAAAAAATTTTAAGTTCTTTAAAGCAATGGGCCACGCCTTCTGAGTCCATTATCTCTACCACCAAAGTCTTCATCACCATCACTGCCACCACCAGCACCACCAGCACCACCAACACCACCACCATCATCACCATCACCATTCTTTTCTTTTATCATCACCATCCTCTTCTTTATCATCACCATCACCCTTATCAATTCCACCACCTTTTTCACCACCATGAAACCTTTCATTATTTCAAGAAAGATTCTTGAGTGCCTACGATGGGGCAGACACCACAGTTTATATTAAAAATATAGCCATAAACAATCCAAACACAGCCCCTACCCTTAAGAAGTGTGTGGTGTAGGCTTCCCAGCTTTTTCAAAGCCAGGAATGCAGAGGAAAAACATCATACTTGTATGGCACACCGGGATAAATAGAAGAAGCTTCTAGAAGCTGGAGATGACCAGCCTCAGGGGCTGCAGCTACCAAAGGCCCCTGGAGGCTGCCCTTTATGGCTGAGAGACCAAAATCTTGGCGCTCCTGTGACACGTTCTTAAGGAAATATTGTGCCAACTCCCAAAATTTGATGAATTGGGGAGAGAATCCTTCAACAAATCTTGCTTTGAACAGGGTACTCTGAGAGAAAGTAAAAGAGGGGAGGTCTCACTGGGATTCGGAATCCAGGAAGTGACATGGATGATGAGACACAAAGAATATAAAGGCATTTCACGCCTAGGGGATGGCTTATACAAAAGGTTTGGTACATTTTAGAGAAACTCCAAGAGTAATCAGGCTGGAACATAGTGAGAGAGGAGTAAGTAGAGGGAAATGAGACTGGAGGAATAGGTTGGGGCCAGGCCATGCATGTCCTGGGGTCACAATAAAGAGTTTGGTTTCTAGTCTAGGCTTCTGACCAGTTTTGAGAAGAGTAGTGAAATGCTGTAATTTACATTTTTAAAATCTCACTCTCCGTATCGGCTTTAGTGTGGAACAGAGACTGTAAGGAAACAGGAAAGGAAGTGAGGAAGCCAGTTAGGAGCAACATAGAAGTAGGAGCAGCAAGAGATGCTTGGATGCTTAGGCTGTGGTGGTGGCAGCAGCGAGGAGGGAGGGAAGTAAATAGATTTTTTTTTTAATTGAGAGGGGCAGGATTGATAGGACCTGGGGATAGACTAAGGCTGAGAACCATTCTTTTCCTTGTTGCTTTGTTCTCTCTCACCACCTTAATCTTCATCATTGGCATCCTCATCTCCATTATCAGCAGCATCAACACACTGAACAGAGCCATCATCAGCGAGAACACATCCTCCCCTTGATTTTACACACATTCTACTGCATCACCCCTTCAACCACCACCTTCATTAAGATTGATCTCTCCCATTACCGTCCCCACTGATGGTTTTGCCTTCAACTCCATCACCTTATTACTGTTATCTTCCATTGCATCATCATCCAACCAGTCCTCCACTGTTCCATCTACATTAGGGAGCCTACATGAAGGTAAAATTCAATAAGGCTGGTCCCAGGACCCCTAATAATGTCTTTAAGGTTTAATCTCTTCTCTCTCCCTTTCTCTCCATCTCTCAAATGTTTTTCCTCTCTTGGCTTCATTCTTATTCAGACTCTCACTTGTTGGACCCCAGGAGCTACCTTTCACTGCTTAGCAACCCCAACAAAAAGAACAAATCTCTTTCTCAGTGGTGCAAGCCACATTTCCAGAATCGAAGCCCATATCCCCGTCTCTGAACCAATCTCTGAGTGATAGGGATAGAAGGCTCTGATTGGCCAAGCCTGGATCGCCTGCCTGCTCCTGGAACCAAGGCAGGGTGAATTGGTCCCATCCTAACCATTTGAGTTTAAGCAGTGTCAGGGCTGCCAGATGTACCAAATAAAAGCACAGTGTGCCTGGTTAAATTTGAATTTCAAATAAATAATAAAATTTTAGTATAAATATGTTCCATACAATATTTGGGATACACTTATACTTTTAAAATTGTTATTGTTGTTGTTTAATCTGAAGTTCAATTTTAACTGAGTGTCCTGTCTTTTATCTGGCAAACATAGCTGGCTCCCCAAAGGAAAACCAAGGTGCTATGACCAGAACCAAGAGAAGGGGTGATGGCAGGGTGGATGGTGGCCCTCCACCCAGCACATGCATTTTCCTTCACTAGGTCCCACATCTCTCGTCTGCATAAGGAGAACTTCTTCCTGGCCCCTTTGTAAAGACAATCTTGTAAGCTTTGATCATTCTACTTTTCCTGAGGATTTTGATATAATGTACCTGAATCATGCTCAGTCACTCTAAAAAGCACAGAGAGTAATGTTTTTCAATGAATCTGGGGAGGGATGGAGCACATCAAATATCGGATGCTATCATTACTCAGCCAGTTAACTGAAGAGGCAGGATAAAACCTGAAGGCTCCTGAGGCAGAATGCAAAGGAAGCACAGCATTTAGGATTCAAGCCACACCAGGCGCCATGCTGGGTACCGGACTGGTGGAGAAAGGGCATTGAACAGGGATTCCAGAGGCTGGTTTTGAGTCTTAAATCAGCATCTTACAGGCTGTGTGAGCCCAGAGAAATTGCCTGTCTTCTCTGAGCCTCAGTTTTCTCGGTTGTAAAATGGGGGCGCTCATACTTACCAATCTCAGAAGGGCACCATGGGGGTGTAATGATGGTGGGTATAAGTACTTTGTGACCTATGCAGAGTCATACCAACATAATTATTAGCATATGTGGAAACGCTTTGAGAAGAGGGGAGGAGTGCATTTCAAACATGCAAAGAAGAATATTTAAAAGAAAGAGGAGGGCATCAGCACCTGCGCTGCCTCATACTGAGAAGCAGGAATTTGCTTTTCAGCACCACGGACAGCAATCTGCTGGCAGCCGGGAAGCAGAGGGAGCCAGAATTGGGGGCATCCATGGAGCCAAACAAATATTGACTGAGCACATCCTGGGGCCAGGCACGCTAGAGAATACAAAGATTTATGTGGTCTTGACGTCCAAATAACTTAATCTCTTCAAGTCATCAACATTCCTAGACTGATACAGCTGGGGCAAGGCTTCTGATACTTGAAAAGTGGGGAGAATCAAAGGGAAAATGTTTTCTTTTCCAACAATTGTTGAATATCTGCTGTGCGTTCACATATGCCATCTAATTTTCTCACTAGACTACCACCCTCAAAGAGAACAGTTACTGCCATGTCCTATGCATTGTTACATTCCAAGTGCCCAGCACGGCGCCTGGCATATGACAGATACTCAGTAGTTTTTGAATGGATGTGTGAAGGAATTCTTATAAAATCCTATTTTACTCTTTAAAAAAGAATAAAAAAAGAGGAAGGCAGAAGGAAGGGAGGATGTCGGGATACCGGGAAGAAAGGTTACTTTTCATTATGAAGCATTGAGTATCATGGGAAAGCCGACATATTTTTAATCAGTGAGATCTGGATTTGTGCAACTCTGCAGCCCTGAGGCCCTGCTTGCCTCGCCAGCCTCACAAACCCAGGCTTCAAACACATGAAGTTTGTTCCTGCCTCTGAGCATCCACACATGCTGTTCCCTTTAACTGAAATACTCTTATCCCCACCTTTTTTTCCTTTTTATTTCTTTCTTTTTTCGGGGGGGGGGCCTCAACTTAAAAATTAGTTCTTTGGAAAGGGCTTAGCCAACCCCCGATTTAGGTCGAAAGCTCTTAGGATACGATGATTTATGATGATTCAGGTGTGGTTAAGGTCCATTGTATCTCCTTAGGCTCTCAACTGCTCAGCGGCACGCCTACAACATTTACCACACACACCTGTGACTCTCCACATATGGACTTTTCTCCCCAAGTGAGAAGGCTGGAATTACTGGAGAGTGAAGGCCCCCAGGAACACCGAGCACTGATGAAGTTGGAGGATAAATAGCCCTAGCTACCTCACCCCTTTGGGGAGGGAAAGGCTCTGAAGCCTGTTCTACTCTGTCCCCCAGAGTTTCCAAGGGGGAATGAACCCCAGCTGCCCACTGCAATGATGTCTTCAATTGATTTCCTTTCTTCTTCATCTTAATTCCCCACTCTTGTACCAGTGTGTCCTAGGATCACCCCCCAAATACAATTACTGGCTCTCAAATCCTTATACCAGAGTCTACTTCGAAAGAAACCCAACCTAAAACATATGCTATCTTAGCACTGAGACTCTCCCCGTA